GGGGGGGGGGGAAATCGTACTTCTCCTTCGTCCCATTGATATATAGTATTGTAAGATAGTTTCATTGAAAAAATAATATTCTAGTCGTTTGAGTTGGATGTTCCACTTGGTGCCTATCGTAATTGGGATAAATGCGATACTATTGTCTAATATTCACGACAATCTTGATAAATGCAATAGTAAAACAATAGTAAAATACTTGTCAAAAATTGTTTAAATTCTTAAACAATTCTCATTTCTTTTTTTTTCTCTCTTTTTTTCTGTTTCCTTTAGAGAACAGTAGCAAAACGTCTAAAATCTCAGTTTTCCTTCTTTAATAAGTAAGTCGTGCTGTCCACACATTTTAAATAACATATTAACGAGATTTAACACGTTTACTCGCCACTGCTACAAAGAAATGCGTTCTGATTTATAATGCGTAGATGACACACAAACTGCATGTTCAACGTTTCTGAGAATACTATAAAGAGCCCGAGGAAATCGTTTCGAGCTGATAGTTAGTTATAGTTAGAAATACTGAAATCTTTTGTCTCTATTAATATTCAACGTCCGTAACGATATATAACAGACGAACGTGGAATAAGTTATGAATAAACGTTACAGATTGAGCATTATAGTAGTAACGATTCAAGTAAAAAAATTCTTGCAATTGCAAAAATCGTCCTGAGCGTCGCTGAATAATATTATGCGGTTACACATAAACAATTTACAGCGTTCTCAAGTGTGTGTGTGTGTGTGTGTGTGTATGTGTGTGTCTCCTCTCTCACGTCGACGAAAAGAAAAGGAATGAATGAAACGACTCGACAGACAATTGTTAAATGCAATAAATATCGACTACAATGAATCATCGGATAGTCAGGTAGAAATTCTTGCCTTAGGAAAGTGGCAGTGTTCAGGACTGTCAGATTTACGATTTTACCCATAAATCCTTTAACGAGGTGCATTGTACCTATTTCAAAACAACGATTACGCTAAAACGCCAATCTATGCGTAGGTCTCTAGTCGTAGATATACTGCTCAAAATAGCTAGCCATTGTATCACCTATATCTGAGAAACTGAATTTCAATAATGATATCCTAAGGCTATCTTATTTCGAGCAGTATATAATATAACTCGTAAGTATTAACCATCGCCTACAACCAGAAGATGAAACTCCTTTTTTAATCTTTGATCAAGGCCCTGTCGTCTTTATCGTTGCTAATATTGTTATTGTTATTGTTACTATTTTTAGAACCAACCGCACTCAGAGCTATCCCCAATTGAGCCGCATAATACGTTAGCATTATTGAAACCTGGAAAAAAGATGTTTTGAC